ATAGCAAAAAAGTTAAAACTTCTCTAATACTCTATATTCAAAATTGCAAGATTTATTTAAAGAGCAACATTTCAAGAAAAATATGCTTAACTACCCTCATTCCCTACCTCACATACATCTTACTATCATTCAAAATTTTGTCAAAGATAAAGGAAACAATCTCTTTACAGATTTAGCACTTGAAAATTCAAATTCAACTGTGCTTCTTCCAAAAATAAAAAAATTCTGTAGCACTAACTTTCTACGCCTACATAAAAATTATGATGATCTTCAACTTCATAAGGTTTTTAAACAAGCATAACACAAATTTCCTGCAACAAATTCTAAAATTTCGGTTTGCTTCAAGTACAATAAAATCTAAGTAGTTTTATTTCTAACCATAATGAAGATTTTGCAGCACCATGATTTTGTAACGAAGAAAAATTTCTGCCATTTCTTGACGAAGAGCAAAGCATTATAACAGAAAATCTGGGCATTATTCAAGCCATTAGACTGCTAATGAAAACAGGAACGAAGTTTAGACCTATTAAATTTATTAATAAATTACATTGCATAGAAAGTATTTCTACAGTTATTGATAATTTTATCTTGAAAATTAGTTCTCAACTTAGTTTACCTTCAAATCTATTTAAGGAATGGAGAATGATATTATTACTCAGCAAGAAGAAAATTGTGAAAATTCAAGGATTTAAAGGAATTAAAAACTGTAAAAATTTACTCCTGAAGTTTTCACAATTAAAAAAGCAATTTACCATTTCCAAAATTGCTAAAACAAACAATAATTTCAGTATTTTATGAAAAAAATTCTGCAATGATAAAATTGAAAATGAACTGAAAAATTCTTCTACCTATAATATCTGCAAAAACAAAGAAAGAACTGTTATTAACAAAATTTCTGCTTTTTATAAAAAATCGAGAATTTTTCTCTTCACTTCAAATAACAGATTTGCCAATCTTTATGCCTTACCAAAATTTCATAAAAATCCTGTCAAATTTAGATTTACGCCAATAGTACCAGAAACTTCAAGAAAAATTTAATTTTTATTGATAATATCTTTACCAATTTACTTAAAACTATTTGTAATATAGTTTTTGATCAAGTTAAAGAAAACAAACACTTCTGCTGGATTATTAAAGACAACTTCAAAATCATTGAAGAAGTTAGAAATCTTAAAATTTACAATATTAACTGCTATGACTTTGAAAACCTCTACACGTCTCTGCCACTCAAAGAAATCTACGAAAGTCTTTTAGAAATGACAGAATTTTTTCCTGAAATGCTTAATATTCTGGATTTACAAAATTAGAAAGAATTTCTATATTTTTCGCTATACAATAACTATATTAAACATTCAAACTTTCTTTACCTGCAAATACAAGGAAGTCCAATGGGAAGTTCACATTCAAGTCATATTTGTAATTTATTTTTTCTAAAGAATTCAAATTCCTAAAGAGCCTTTCCGCTAACGATTTCAGTAAATCTGAACACACTTATAGATATATTGATGACATTATTACTTTTAAAAATTTCAATCTCAACGAATACAGCAACATCTACCCAAATTGTCTAAAACTAAATAGGACCAATAAAAGCCAAGGAGAAATAGTTTATCTTGATCTAAGTATTCATAATCTAACAAAAATTAAACTTTTTGAAAAAGAAAAGATTTTAATTTTTCTACTAATAAACTTATAAATTGGAACTCCAACATATCTAAAAGAGTTAGAGCAACTGCTATTTTTAATCAAATTAACAGAATTAAAAAAGTTTACACTGAAATAGACACAGAAAAAGAAGAAATTCTAATGCTCAATAAAGTTTTAATGATAATAAAAGGTAATGAAATTCCTTTAAAATTCATTAATACTATAAGGTATTTCTCCCGCCATCCTAGCGTCCTTCGTGGTGTAGTGGTTCTGCACGCTGGGCCGGTATTCCAGAGGTCAGTGGTTCGATTTCCAGCGAAGGCGTAAAAAGTAAGTAAAAAGTTCCATAAAGTAAAAAATTTAGAACTATTTTTCACAAAGACCAAAAATTGAAAATCAAATATATATATGCACCTTCTTTACCCACCCTTTATTTTCGCAATCGTTGGTGTCATCCTTGAACGAGACGTTCGTTGCAAAGGGCGCCTGGACTGGAGTGTCCTATCCCCATCGAATTTATGTCACTTTTCGCAGTTATATACTTCCAGAAGAATGTATGGCAACCTATTTGTATGGAAAATACCTATTTGTATTGAATGTATGGAAAACTGTTTCTTTTCTGTTTTGTTTGCTTAATTTCTTTCATACATCGTTCTAGCTTTATTATAGTATTTGAATTGAACATGTGGCAACGATAAGATAATTCTTCAAATTATATAAATTTTGTGCATTCAGAGTGTCATTATAGTAAACAAATATAGTGAATTTTAAAGAGTGCATTTATTCTGTTGTGGTTTATGCGCTGTCGACGAAGTAGATTTAATTCAATCCAATCAATTTAAATGAAATTCAAGAAAAAAATGCGTATAATTTAATATTCCGTACAAGGAAGTCATGGTGTACACATCAGATTTTTTATTCTTGGCATACAGAAGGGGGCACAAAATCTTCAGTTGTCCCCGGACGCTAAAAACCCTATATACGGCTCTGGTACCATACACTATAAAAGATCACAGTATTACAAATCATTGAACATCCTGAACACAAGAAAAATTTTAAAAACATTTTATTACAAACAATTTACAAAAACTAACATTACAATAAATATTCTGCACCATTTAATACAACAACATTCATACAAACCAAAAATTTAAATTGTCTTAATACAAACTCTTGATTGACTCTACTTTAAAATATATTTCTTTTTAAATTCTTCACTCAAAAATTAAAAATCTTAAAAAAAAGTTTAGTGATAATAATTTTCAATACTATTAATATATGTATTAATATTCTATTAATATAATATAATAATTATAATACTAATAATTTACAATACCTTTTGTATTAAAAATTTGGGATTTTAGAAAAGTTAATAACCAAAAAAATTTATAAAAATTACAGCAAAATGAAAAATCATGATATGGATTAGTTCCACCCCCACACCTCCCAATTTAGCCACAGTTTTTCAGATACTTTTTAGCAATTTCATGAATGAAAAAATTTAACAAACTAATAATTTTACCAGAATGCATTTAACAGCATTTTTACATGCATTTTTAATTACTAAGAAATTTTTTGTTGATATGTCAATAAAAGTCTTCTTAAAATTTTTTCCACATCTAAGGTACATACAAATCATATTTACGGTAGTCAGAGGTACACAAAATACACAAAAAAATCATATTTATGAATCAATTGTCAACATATGCAAGAATTTCTGTAATCATTGATTTTTTTAAATATTAGTTCGTATGGTTTATGTAGTAAATTAATCAGCTTCATCATGTAATGCAACCAAGGCAAAACCCATAATTTTAGCATGTAACTAGTTTGTACCCTAATTTATTTATATTGCCATCCTAGTTATAAAAATCTAACGTACATTTTTTCCTACTTCTTGCTAACTTTCACATGACTAATCAATTTTTTACAGACTCAGCTTTTTGGTTCTATTGTGATTACTTTTCATCCACAGTCCTGAAACTGACGTAGGATTTTTAATATAAATGTATTAAATAGTTCTATCTTATCCACAACACATGTGTACTTCTTGAATGAAAAATTTGAATGCATACTTCCTACTAAATGTTGATTTAAGAATGAAACAGTGAGAACACAGTTATAGTGATCAACATACGAAAATCTTCATACACTTTCTGTATAATCTCAAATCTGTGTTACAATTTAAAATGCAAAACAAACTTTATGCAAAATAGTTTTTAATTGACAATAAATAATGTAATGTGGTAAAATTACAAACACAGAGAGATAAAATTACATTTTTTTTTTTTTTTTTTTTTTTTTCATTTTCTCATAAAGTTTAAAAAAACGAATATATTCTTTATGTAGATGACAGTTATATTTGCTTAAAACATGATACTTTACTGAATGGCTCATCTAATTATTGGTGAATGGCTCATCTAATTATCTACTTAATACTGGTTTCTAATTCAAGAAATTTGAGAAGTCATTTTAATTAAAAAAGTTAATGATTTTTTTTTTACTTCAGGAACTGTATATACTCTATAAATTATTCAGACATTGTTGATATTTTTTGCATTAATTTCTGACAGAAAATCAAATTTAACCTATATTTGTGCAGCCCAGAAAAGGAGAGAATATAACCATATATTTGAACTCCAGTAGAAACCTGGCTGCTCTTGAGTGAAGTAGCAGCCAGTATCCAACCGTATAACAATGTAATCTCAGGTATACAGATGGAGCCTCCAGGCTTGTTGATGAAAGCTATTACTCCATTCCTACACATGGCTATTCTTTGTCAAACACTTTCCTGTAACATAGTAACATCAATGTCTATTATAGTACAAGAAGATATACATAAATGAATTATGGATCTTTATTCATGTTGTGATAACAAATCTGCCTAAAGAAATTCTTTCTGATATGTCTTATGTCAAGATGCTTAAGTATTACATTCCAACTTACTCTGTGGACTTCAAGAGCATGACCTGCCATAGTTTCATTTCTGACAGTAGGAATAGTGTATTGAATTGCATAATAAGTTATTTAAATATGTGGATTTCCAATTAGCTCTAGAAAAAATTATATTTCACACAGAAAATATGTAATATTGGACCTTGAGGAAGACTTCTGCAAGATACTGTATCTTGCTACTTAAATGCAAAACAGTAAGGAAAGGTTATAATATACATATACCACCAAATAAGAGGTGGACGGAAGATTAAAAAAAAAAAAAACTTTGTTTAAAATGAAACAAAAGGAGAGATAATATCTGGGAATTCAAAAATGGCTTTACACTTTTATAATGAATGAAATGAAACTTAGTTTGACATATGATGTTTCAAATGTTCACATAAAATTCTTAAAAGCACTGAAATTACTTCATTTTTTAATAAAACAAAACATACATAATACATTATGTTACCCTAAAACTTTATTGAAAAACATCACAGTCTGCAGAGTTAACGTTATTATAAATCTTTCAGTGTTTTGCTGGCTTTTTTCCATCAACATAGAAATTAGCTGTCCCTGGGGGTAATTTAAACTTTGCACCTTCTATTTCTTTAGATACAAATAGCTGACATGCTGAAATTTAAGAAATGGAGCAATTAACTTACAACATACAAAAAAAAAAAAAAAAAAAAAAAAAAAAAGAAAGAAAGAAAGAAATTGTACATATTATGCAATACTTGATTTCTAATAAATGTTTTAATTTGGAACACAGATCAAGAGTTCAAAAATATTCCTAATTCAAAAAGAAATGTATGCTTATTCATTTAGAAGCATTATATTATTAAAGCAATTTTCAGCATATAAATTTCAGACAGTTTGCTTATTTTCAGGTACAATTTTGAATTTTTGCGTAACCTACATGGCCATTTTCATTGTTTTTTTAATTATACAGCTGAAGAAAGAGAAAGAAAAGAAAAAGGGTACTGAGGTGTAAAAACGGTAGTACTTGGGTCTCAGCCAGAAGTGATAAGCCAAAAGAGTCTCAGCCTAAACAATAATAGAGAATATGATAAATGAGGCAAATATGGTTTTATCCCTGCCGTCATCTATAATGGCAAAATTCCTTTTCCTTTTAATGAATTTGTGAATTCTTAAAAAGAAGATAAGTTCCTGATTTTTATGCTTATGTAAATTAAATAAAAAAAGATTCTACATGTTTGTTTGTTTAGCTGATTAAAAGTAGGTAGTTGAATATGGCTAAGTACACACGTCCTATCTTCCTATGTTAAGAATGCATTCTTAAAACATTTCCTAAGGGAAACTGCTCATATTTATGCCAAACATGAGGAAAATCACTACGCAGTGAACTTCATTATCTGGGTTAAATTTGGGTCAAACTACTTATTTAGCAGTATTTAATCGCTCAGCCACTGGGGAAGTTAATTTGTTAATGTTACACAAAAGATATCTGCCTAAGGGATGGTATCAGTACTAATTCCAGTCATGGTAAACTTTCAGAAAGAAGACTCACTCATATTTATGTTATGCATAGGAAAAAATCTTAAAAACACCAGTGCAGCCAGCCTGTTCAAACCAAAATTAAAACCTAAGGAGAGCTACTAACATTCGACAATCTTATTCCAATGGGCAGATTTTATATAAAATGATGCTTATTTACAATTTATAAGAAATTTATTCTATTTTAGTAAATATTTGCTTTAATTTTGTCAGGGTTACTATGATGGTCACTTATAATTTGTTGCCAATAATGGTAGTTATAGATGCATAAACCACATATGGGAATTCATCACTTATAACCGGCTAACACACAAGTAATGACACTTTGTTGCTTTTTTTTCCCCCAAATATAAAAGCCTGAAAATGTATTTCATCACAAAAAGTTGCACTTATTTCCATTTTAATTTTAAGAAAGGGTTTTTAAAATTTTGACATTAATTTGCTAAAATTAATAAAAAATATTGTAGTACATATATATGCCATCTGGAAACGAAATTACTTGAGTTTTGCTTCACATAAGATATACATAAAATGTTCATTTGTGATTATTTAATGTGCTAACAATTTTAATACATAGGATACTTCAACAAAATGCAATCCTGAAAAATTAACAGCTACAAAAATACAGTTACATAATTTTTACAGAAAAATATTTACAATAAATGCTGAACACATTGCCAAATGCTTTACCCGGTTTCAAAATAAATTTACAGATGCATCATTAGATTTGGCTCCAAAATAGCCTGGCTGTATCATTAAACCTAGTTCCCAAAAAAATTTACAAAGTGCTCTTTACGACTTCTTATTTAACAAGTAACAAGGACTTATTATTATTATTAATGGCATTCCTATTCAACTAGCGGAAAGCCAGGAAATGTGACTGCAGACATTTAAGATGCTTGATAGCATACAATAATTGAGTATGCCAGCATATGGCAATCCAAAGAATAATGCATATTTTTTAAATATATGATACGATGATTAATTTTTATCTGTAAACAACTCAAGCCTACATATTACACCTGCTCAAAAACATATTCTCCCTGGTCTGGCATTATTATAATAAACACTAATTAGGTGAAAGTGTTACTCATAATTTTAATTGCATTGCAACCAATATATACAATTTTTACATCAATTTAAAAAAGGTTAATTTGTTTTCACAATTTTTAATTATGCATCTTATAAACACGCTGACAAAAACAAGGGATTCTATATGCTTATTAGGAATTAAATTATAGTTCCTGCTTCACCTCTCATAAATACAGATTGCATACACACTTTTATAGCATTATTTCTACATTAGCCCAATTGTTAAATATTGGCCAAACATTATTTATACATCCTGGATTCTCTGCAAGCACTGGTGATTGCCACAGGTATAAAAGTTAGTATTTTTAGCCATGGCTCTGCAAAGCGTGAATAGATGGTAACTAGGTAGTCTGTGAGGCTAAAGTGGCTGAGTGCTATCTAGAAGCCAGAGCACCAATCCCAAGTGGCCAAGTGTTGTTTAGTCTAGAGACTGGAAAGACAATTCTGAGCATCTGGTGAATTCAAGAAGTGCATTATTTAAATATATAGACTCCTCACCTAGTTTCACAATAGTTTCTTCTGTTAAGTTTTTATGTTATGTTTCAAAATTTAGTTTCAGAGAATGAAATCTTGTTTACTTGAAGCAGCTTTGTCTTCTGCAAATCAAAATATTCGAATTCAGATAATTTTAAGTTTTACATTTAAGTGAGAAGAGACAGCAACAAAATAACTTTAACTTCTACTTCAAGCAAAAAAGAACTAAGCTGCACAATAAGCAAGTCAAGGCCAAAGTACTAATACCAATCAAATGGCAACACATTGCCAGCCACATTTCCTCAAAATATATGTAAAAAGCAGAAATCATGGTAATATACTTATACATATACAGTTCTTTTAGTACATTCTATGCAAAGTATTTGTTTTTAAAAGAAATTATTATATGATACATATGAAGAATGGATCAAATATTAATTTTATTCCTAAACAATCAACTAGCCCTTTTATATCCTGAACAATAACATCGAACTGTTCAGCAAAAAGCATTGCATAGAAAGATATACTTTATTCGATTATTTCCCAATGGAGCAGTTGATCAATTCTCATTTACCAACCACATTCTTTCAGTTAATTATGTATCACATTCTGATACAATCAGAATATGTTACACTTTTAACTCTGCAATACTTCAAACTATTTCATTACCATATGCCAAATAATAATTGCATAATGGCTAAGTAGTTAGCAACTTATGTCATATTTTTAAGTTTGAAAAAGACTACTATTTAACTTTACTGCTCATTAAAATCGTCCATTTTGTGAATTTGTCCTTTACTAATTTCTACTGCTATATTTATCAAAATGTTGTACAGTTAATACATTATTATTTGTCATAATACTTAAATTTCTCGCAAAAATTATGCATAAATTAGTTATACGCATGTAAATTAATATGCATTAAATATAATATGCATAAATTATTAGGCATTTTTTTAGTTTATTTTATTACTACTGCTGTATCAAAAACTACTGTTGTGTGGAAACTTTCTTGAAAGCATAAATAATAACATAAAAAAATCACTTTTCTTTATAAGACTATATTTGGTATTTAAAAAAGGTATTCATTTCTGAAAAGTTTTTAGAATTTACACAAACATGAGATGTAAAAGTGAAATATATATATACATACACAGCCTAGAATTTGGTTTTAAGAAATGAGCTATGTCCAGCATATCTTCTTCCCTGTGTGAAAGAAAATATTTTTTACACTAATAAATTTTAAAATCTTTGAAGTGAAAAAAAAATCACTCTTCTTTTTTCTATTAAATAAAGATTTTAAAAACTACAAAAGTAATGCTGCCAAAAATCACAAATCAAAATTAATAATAAAAGGCAAGAGCATCTTACAGAAAATGACATCAAACTGTTCAGCAAAAAGCATTGCATAGAAAGGTAACTTTATTAGATTATTTTCCAATTTCAGTGAAAACATTTTCAGTGAATTCATTAACTTTGCTTAAAACATGAAATCTATAGTAACTACCTATCATGTGTAGTCAAGTTCAGTGTCCAAAGGATTACAAGTATAATATGAAATATAATAAAATATAAAAAATATTTATGATAAACACCTGAAAGCCCGCAAACAGAGAGTCTTAGAAAAAGAGTTGGACTGAAAACACAGTTGATTTTTCTGAAGATGATGTTTAAATAACTACACAAGTTTCATACTAAATTTCCCACTTTGGTATTCATTTTTCCAATTGCTTAAGTGAAAAGTATTATATATTACATATTTATTTAAATGAAAAGAACAATCAGCAAATGGTTGAAAGTTTATTCGATTGGATTATTTAATTTTGGTAAAACATAGTATATAACACGCATATTTCTTTCTATTCAGTATTATAGAATCTCGAGGCTAGTAATTAGAAAATTAAGTATGACAAACACCAATTTGTTTAAGAATTGACAAACAAAAGAAATAATAAAAGAGAGAGAGTATGTCTGCTACATTGCCCATGCGAAGCATTCAAAGTTCTTACTGTAAAGTTTGTTGTGTCACATGATCTGTGAAAAGAGGAATGTTTATATTTTTGCGAATCTCGCATCACATGACCTAGAGCAGATGATCTCTTTTTAACCCTTTCCGGCACACTACCTTTTAAAATTGATGTTTTTATTAAAAAAAAAAAAAAAAAAAAGTAAGCAGTCTAATTAGGCCTAGAGGAGTACACAAGTAAAATTTTGTGAAGATAGCACTTATCGTTTAATTCTGTAGGTGTGCCCAAAGTGGGCACACTGATTGAAATAGAGCTTCGAAAAGTGCTGAAACGAGCATTGTCGTCAATGGACTGACCGATGAGATGCGGAAAAACAAAGAATACAGACTCTCAGCTGTCCTAGATTATCGGTGAGCCCGGTCTGGGCACACCTAGGGTTCGCTGTTTGATTTTAGGCGAGATTTCAAGGTAAAAATTTGAAACTAATATAGAATAAGGAGATTAGCATACAGCCAAAAAAATAACATAGAAATTTCTTTTCAAACAATTCCTTTTATACCCTAAAAAAAATCTGGAAGATTTCTTTGAAAAATGAGGGTTTTAAAAAACTAAACATAGCTAAAATATATGGACTAGTTTGTGCTGACCTGCCATCTACTATAAATAAAGAAGGTTCAGAGTAATCTATAAATCCTTTTTCATTCAATTTTTCTGTGCGTACAGAAGGAAATTTTTAGGTGCGTCCAGACCGGACACACTGTGCGCAAAGAGTTAAGAATAACTCATGCCATCTGTTACAAGTATTTTTTGCTTATGCTCCATTTCAGGAAGGGTAGAAAATAAGGAACAGATATTTGATGACATAAATATTTTGCATATATATATACTATAATTTTAAATATATGAATTTAAAAGAAACTGATATTGAAACCTACATTATAGGGCGGACTTGAGACATTTTTAATTCTAAATGAATGCATATTAAAAAAATTATATTTTAGGTACAGTTTTAAAACATAGTATGCATTTAAAATTTAAATAGTCATCTGAATTCATTTTTATAAGTCATTAGTAATCGAAAAAAAAATTTTCATTTTTGCACAAAAAAATTTTTTTATTTCTCACAACCAATTCCTCAGGTATTAAAAAACTGTTCTCTTCTTCCCAAAAATTTTCCAGCTATTTTGGTAATATTAAATTCTTGAATAAGAATCCCTAATCAAATTCAAGAGGAAGTATGAATGAAAGATACTGAATGACAGCTTTGTCATAGTTGGAATAATTTTAGTTCTTTCCTAAGCCACTGGTGTCAAACTCAAAATGCATGTAGGTCAAATGTACAATCAGAAAATAGCTAATGGGCCATATTTTTTTTAATCAACATGAAAAATACTTTTAATAAATTAAAAAATTTTCTTACTGAATAGTTTTCAAAACATACATAAACAATAATAATAATAGAACAAAGGAAAAAATTTCAAATTTATATTTATTTTCTATCTGAAATCTTAAGTTCGGTACCTATCAGACATTTTTGTTGTTTATACTTTGTAATTCAAATATACTGACAGCTAAATATTAAATTCTTAGACTTACATTCCTTTCATAAAATTTTTACATATTTAATTAATCATTAAATAATTTACTTTAAATTAAATAAAAATAAACAAATTTTGAAAGCTTTTCAATTTTTCAGAGAAAATTTATTAAGTGGGACAAAATTTGAGAATAAATAATAACAATTCAGTTCCTCTTATTTATTAAATTTTACTTTGACACACAAATTAAAATATAAACTTCTATATTTATTACTACAGCTTGGCAACTTGATGGCATTTCAATTCAGATAAAGCTTGTAGCCACAAAAATAAATTACTAAAAATTATCTTCTTCATGAACTGTAGCCGCTCACTGGTCAATTGGGTTCTTTTCTTAGTAATTTTCTACTGTGAAAAACATCTGTTCATATATAAATCTACTCCCAAGAAAAGTGATTATTTTTAATGCAAAAATTAGTGAATTTATATCTTTCTTAACATGTACCAATAAAAGATAATAAAATAAGTATATTCAAATCTCTGAATAAGATTTATATCAGATTGTAAATTAATTATCTCCATGTATAGATTTTTTAGGGTATTATTCATGTTTGTTTCTAATGGAAATGAAAATAACGTAAACTCAGACACCATAAAACAAAAATTTTGAAATCTTTGCAACATCATATTTGCAATAAATCATCATCAGCAATGGCACTACAGCCCCTTATGGGACCTGGCCTTCTTCAGAAGCCTTTCCGATTCCATCCTCCTTGCAGTAATTGACTTCCAGTTCTTAATTTTTAGAATGGGAAAATTCTCATTCAAAAAGCCCGTTCATCTTTTCTTAGGTATTCCTCTTGATCTTCATAAAAGACCTTAAGGACCGTTCTCTCTGCATTCATATTTGCAATAAATGTATAAGTGAAATGTCTTTGATAGTTGCATACATAAATTTTATAAATACAATCTATACTATTCATATAAATATATTCCATTTTCAAAAATGCTTCAGAAGATAAGCACAGTGATGAAATAATTAGATATTGCTCATGAAATACTTCTGATAGTTTTACATGCAATTAATGAGTAAAATGCTGTAAAATTTACCTACATATTCTGGCTTTTAGATAAAAGGTAATTTTCTCATTCTCTTACCCACATAATACAGAAAATAAATAAATAAAAATAAGATAATTGCAAAAAATGGAAAAAATGAATGCTCTCAAAAATTTAACAATAGTTTGTTAAGATAATTTACTTCTCTTGTCTGTCAACTAAAAAACAAAATAACATGGTTATTTAAATTGTACATTGAATTCCAAGAATTATTTCAATCTTGCGCAGTTCTAGCAGTAAATAATTTATCATCAACAAACACATTACTAGGAAATAAAAAATTTTTAAGCAAAACTTTTTGCAACTTTAATAACATTTTACCTAACAAACATATAGCTACCCTGAAGATATATAGTTAGCATAAGATTGATAGCAAAGGGTATGAGAACTTTAGATTCTGTCCCTAAGGATATTTTTAGGAGCTCAGGCAGGTAATTCTTGAGTGCTTTCCTCTAGTTAAATAATTTGTTTCAATTCAATTTCATTTTTTCAACAAAGACAGTTTAATTCATGAATAAAGAAACTACATGCATTACAGTGGCATGAATATAATATTCCCATGCTTAAAATACTTCTCTAAATATCTACCCACCTTTCACACATAGCCTCAAATTTAAAATATATACATATAAAGATATGCTACTTATTCCTGAATTTTAACATTAAAAGAAAATATATTTATTTATTTTTGCCTTAATATGTAGTTTTTAGAGTATTTAATTAATATCCTATTGAATATTTCAATTTGTAAAAATGAACCTTCAATGCAGGTGAGGATATCTTATGTGCAAGCCTCATTTTCTCTTTATAAAACACTTAAACAAATACAGGGGAATCTGAAATGAGATATCTTTTTACATTTTATTAAACTAATTTACATTCGCGTATACAATACATAAAAAAAAGGTTCTTAATTTTTAATTTTAAAAAAAATTTTAATTACTCACATCTTATCAGCCTCAGGAAAAACTTGCTCATAATTTTCATCAACATATACATGACATGTTGTACATGCCAGTTGTCCTTCACATGCACCTAAGCAATGAAAACAATAAAAAATAATTACAAATACCATAATTAAAGTTTAAAAAATTTTTAAAAAGAAGGCTTGGTGCATTTAAAAAAAAAAAAACTCTAAAAAATGAAGATACACTCTGCGTAACATCATCTTAAAATAGATAAAAAATATAAATACACTAATTGAACTACACTAATTCTTTTGAAATGCACCAAGCTTTCTTTTCTTAAATTTTTTAAACTTTATTAAAAGAATTATTTATTAAAAGAATTTATTTTATTAAAAGAATGAAGAAAAAAGCAAATCAAATTATTTCTTCAGTTTTGCACAATAGCAGTGTTATGCTGTCTTCCATTTGTATTCAAAGTAATACACATATATGAGTACATATTACTGAAAATACTGTTAATGAGGTCTGCATCAAGTGCTATTTGAGATGCTACAGAAATTTCATTTGAATTTAATGTTAATCTACACTCATATTTAGGAGTGTAGATTAACATTTCTCAGATTAACTATTCTGAGAGCTTCCTTTTACATCATTATCACTATTATACTATTTTAATTATTAAAGAAACTTACATTTGCAGTTAAAAAAATGAAATTGCACTGTAAATTTCACTACTTCCGAAATTTTCTCATTTGATGTTAAAATTATCCTTACTGAATAAAGAATAATTTAGTTTAAAAAACAATTGATTAATTTCCAGTATTGTATAAATTACACTGAACAATAAAATTTAACATATTTTTGTTAAAGATTGAAAATATTGAATTCATGGCACACTTTGTGCTGATTTCAAAACTGGCTAAGAAATTTTCACATCAGGTAAGACATATCTAAGTAAGATTACATCTAAGTACATTAGAATTTTAAAAAATAATATATATAAAAATGTAAATAAATTTTTTAAAAAGCAAGCAAGAAGAAGGAAAAAAGAAGCTTTCTTTACCCATAAGCTATTATAATTGAAGTTGTTTACCTCATAATGCTATTTCAAACAATTGTCTTTGATATTTTGCTTTTGGTTGATTCCTTTTTAGAGTTTAATAAGAGCTAGAATTTTGATTCTTTCCTTTCCTTTGTAACATGATTATTTGCACATATAATTTGATAGAACTGCTCTCTATGCTTGTTATTAAGTCCTAAATTCCTCAAGGTAAAACTCAACAATAGGCCAGAAAATGAAACCTTAATTTTAGACTTCCGAAAGGTGTTTCATTAGCTTTCTGTAATTCCCTAACTTTTAGCTACCACTGAAATTTGGCTCCATGTATTTAAGGTATTTAAACACATAGAGCCAAATTTAAAAAAAAAAAAAAAAAATTGAAATTTAGGATGCTAAAAAAGCAAAATTTTAGTTACAGGATCTTTTTACATGAGATTGAAATTTATGTTACTACATAAATATCACTAGATAATTATTTTGCAAAGCAAACTATGTGGCAAACTATTACAGTTTTCTTGTTACAATAAATCACTTTCATAACTATACTTCTAATCTATATAGAACACAATTAAATCCTAAACATTCAAAATTTATCACAAAAAGAAAACAGTTCTTTTAATCATGATAAAAAGCAGTCTTTTAATTAATTTAAAAATAAATATACAATAAAGAAAAGATAGAAAAAATAAATTATGATCACTATCATATTTTGTAATGTTCACTCTCCTTGGTGATAAAAAATTAAGTGATGGCTTTAACAACAAAATATCTTCCAAGTGGGATTTTAAATACAACATTACAATTACTATTCTTTTAATTTTAATGTATGCTTATCATCAGTCAGCATCCCCCCAAAGGCATTTACTGTACTGAAAGAGATCTATACTCTGGCAGTCTCAATAACATGAGCCTGAAGGTACCATGTGTGCCTGCAAGAAGGGATAATGAAGCAGTACTACCAGTTAACTATCGGTAAAATGAATGCCTACAAGGCACGTTGGTGTGAGCCCTATGTAAGTGGTGGATCTATTATTGTGAAAGACCAAAATGTGGAGGATATTGACATTCTCTGGTGAAAGTCAACATTCACATAATCACTTGGTGTGTGTCTGAAACTTTTGCTACATTTATCTTTCTCACTTACACCAAGAAATAACGACATTCGCCATGCATTGATGGTGGCTGTCGAATAAAAATATTTTTTTTACATTTTAAAATCATACTTTATAAGTAAAACCTATTTTGATATATGTCAAAATAGGAGAAAGCTTAAGTAACAGCACATGTAAACAAACTGTTGAACTTAAACAAACAGTACACTCTAACACTGAAAAGAAAATAATATCATTAATAAACATATTTAGTTATGTGATTGATGTTATATAACCTTATTTATTGCAATAACTTAAATTGTTATGACATTTTGAATTGCAGAAGAGTCCCTTGCATATACACCAGTGAAGGTCCAAATGTATAAGAATGTAACCAAATATTGGGTCTTTCACTAATGTATTTGGTATGTGTTGACTTTCATTGAAGCATGTCAATATTCTCCAATTTTCGTCTTTCATCATAACATATCCATTAGATAGCCTGCATAGTACTGGTAGGCGCAACAAGACCAGTCCAATCTCCAGGCAAACAGATCATCCCCACCTTGATCTCTGGTCACCTCAAATGGTAGTCCAACTGATCAGTTCAGTGGTGGGTGAGAGATCTTAAAAAAAAAAAAAAAAAAAAAAAAAAAAAAAGTCAACTCACAATTGTTAGCAAGTGAATGTTACAATACTCTCCAAAGTGCATTTTTACCAATACAGAGGTTTCATGTTAGGAAATAGGCTGTGTAAATAGGTCTCCCCCTGGGTTGACTCAGGCGAACACCTGGGAAGTACTGGTTAGGGTCTGTACCTAGGCAGTCTCAACCACAGAGGTATATAATTTGGCTTCACAGGACTAGAACCCGAGTATTGTACTCAGGTTGGTTCAGGCTTGGCAGGGACTGTAGTGGTACTGTCTGTCGTGTCTGTTCCTTCGGCTGGGGTGGAGCTAGATCTGAGATCATTGACCGAATCCCCAGGGGTTTGACCCCATTCAGTTCTCGTGGCGGGGACTGACGGAGTGGACAGAGCACCCACAAAAATGTACATTTTGCCAATGGAGTGGTGCCCGGAGGCAAGGTGACAAAGTTCTTACATAGCAACGATTCCTTCTGCCCAATGCTTTGTATAAAGCTGGGCGAGGACTGTGGGGGTTGCACTCGTGAGGATGAGGTCCCTTGGACCATAGGATATCTAAACTCTGCATAAGTTTGCTAGAATATGGACCTGGGATGAAGACCTATGTTGTCTGGCGTGTCTGTGTAAATAGGTCTAGGTAATAGGAAATAGGCCTAGGTAATATGGGAGAACACGTACCAAATATAATCTAATTAATCAATATGACTTAAATAAATGCCTAATTAACTCAATTTTATGAAAGAAGGGAGAAAGTTTCACCAGTGAAAGAATATGTAAGTAAATAAAATAAATGACAAATTTGCAGTTGCTTACAGTTTTAAATTTTTATAACTAAACTAAACAGCTACTAGTACAGTCCTCCCCATATGCTCAAAAAAATGTACATAATAATAGCATCAAATAGATTTCAGAAGAGCTTAAGTGATAGCTCTAATGTTATCTTAGGATTTCATTTTTAGGTTTATAATTAATATAACTAAAGATTTTTCAGCTCAGCAAAGAAACAAAAAATTAATTTCAAATGGAGTGAACATTACCAAAGAAATACTTACCATCCACACCAACATCATAGTCCTGTGCAACTGACAAGATGGTCTTTCCTATTTCTCCTTCAACTTCAATTTCTTCTCCACTAGCAGCAACAAAACTAAATTTAATCCTGAAATAAAATCACATGAAGAAACTTAAACCAAGTATAACAAACATGGAGACACTATAATACTAAAGCTTTTCTTTCATATACTTGAAGCTTATTGAATCAAATAATAAAGACATTCTCTCATTTAATAATTCTAGTTAGCATCATAGACTAAACACACAGTTTTCCAACAGAAAAATCAATTAAGATCAAAGCTATGTTATCCAAAGTTGTTTTGTTATTTAAAAAAAAAAGGTATTAACATATTATCCCATCAACCATGAAAGTTAGTTACCATCAAAATATGAAAACTGGCAGAGATCCCATAAAAGATGTGCCAGCCACTCATGTGGAATTCTGAGTCGCACTTCTATCTACAAATCTTACAATTAAACACCATCAGTCTTTCTGCACAATCTACCAAATAGCCACTGCTGTGAAAGTATTCAATTCACTTTATTTTTGTGCTTTATAAAAATTTCATGAAATCTTTGCTTTTACCAAAAGCTCTTTTTAATTGCTAAGAGTACAAACTTCTTGGTTAGCCATATCCAGTTGTTTGTTTCGTCTATCTTTTTTCAAGAGATAGTAAATCTTTCAACTTACTGTAAAGGAACTAGAGTTCGGTCACAACTGTAATTTTATAGCCCTTTATAGCCCTCAAAATCTTTTTTTTTTTTTTTTTTTTTTTTTTTTCAAAATGAAAGGTGGAAAATACAACAATAGCAGTTAATTTATATCCTTGCTGCCCAGTAAAAATAAAAAGTGGCTTATCAAGTATCAATTGGGGCTACATCAAACAAAAGAGGAGATGTTATGTTGTGACATAGGTTTATCCATAATTGGCACTAAACTGGTGTACTGGTGACAATGTCACAGTCAACTGGGTAAAACATTAAGTAAAAAAAAAAAAAAAAAAAATTAAAGAAACACTAATTAATGTTATGCAAATACAAAAAAATATATAGAAGGTTTCATTATTCATAATTTTTGGAACAGTGTTTAATTTTTTCTTAAATGCAAATGCTGAAATTGCATTAGAGAAATAAACTACACAATCAAGAGTATACATCTTCCACTGCTATGAATTAAATACATAAATATTTTCTTTTACTAAAATAGTAGTAAAGAACTAGACCCCTTACAAAATTAGCAGCTCATAGTTAAAAAATTCCGAACTATATTCAGTTAAGTGACACAGAGGTTCAACTAATGTATAATAAATAACTTCATCAAGTTTCATATAAATTCTTTCCATTTCATAATACAATCATTTATTTTTAACAAATACCTAAAACTAGCTTAGTTTTTTTTTAATTAAACTATTAAAAGATTTAGCATAAAATAGCAATTAACTGTTCATGAATACACATAGCATAAAACAGCACAGCATTAAAAAAAAAAAGAAAAAAAGTTATTCAGATTAATATTAGCATCATTATTACAAAGCATCATTATTATCCAAAAATAATTTTTGGAGCTTCTTAGAAGCTATGCATTCAGTTCTCAATGCAAACAAATAAAATTAAAATTTTCAAATAATAATTAAGTGAACTACCATATTATGATACAAATTTTTTACTGTATAAGTGTTTCCAAAAAGGCGGAGATTTTTAGATTTGACAGTGCCCAGTACCTTGATAGCACTGAAATTTGATAGGATATAATTATACTAAGACCCCTTTGGAGAGATATTTACACTGAAGAAAGAATTAAAATTCAAAAGATAACACTGTTTAAGATTAAATAAATAGGTAGATGTGTTAAAATTCAGTTATGTAAAGAAACTCTAAAATATACTTTTGACTAATGAATGTCACACGTATTTATTTTTACCTCAAGAAAACATTTAACTCAGGCTACAGCAGGGCAAACATACCTTCTCATCGATGACATTAGCGGTGCCCTTTACTATAACATAACACTAAAAATAAAAAATCTGCTTTACTGTAATTACTATAAAATTCTTTACCGTATTAAAAAAAAAATTAATGGGAAAATAAAATTTTAAAATATTTCATTTTGTTAAAATTAATTTATTGAAAGGTATAAAAAAGTCAATAACTTATTAAACTCTGTCTACCAACTTAATGCCCATCAGACATTAATTTATTTTTAATACTCTGTCCAGTTGATATAATTTAAAATAATAAATCAGCTGATAATTACAGACACTCACAGTATTACTGTAATTAATGAAAGATGTTTCTAATGTCATAAACTGCATATATTAAAACAGAATCCTCTGGATTTGCCCCTCCTGAATTTTTTTTAACTCCTACATATGTGTACATATATAAATAAAATACATATTATCAATTTAAAAATACTTTTCAGTTTCGGCATTTACCTCTCAGCAGGTTCAGACTGAATTTCATTCTTAAGCTGTGAATTTGCTATAAAAAAATAATATGATTAACTTTTAATATAAAACTTGACAGAAAAATGTTTATTAAAAGCTATTTCTAGAGTAGAATTCTCATTTTGGCCTTTAAGAAATAAAACAGATTAGCAATAGACTAAGCTATGAGCTACACAGTCCAGGAGATTTAGAAGGCTACAAAATTTGAAAGGCATCAAAAAATTTATTTTAATAAACATATCGGTAAACTGTTTTGCCAGGATTATTGCATTAAAAAATACCACTGATGCTGTCTACTCAGAGTACCAGCTTTACACTTAAGAAATTGAAGGTAAAAAATTTTATATATAAACTTTTTTATGAAATATAAACTAAAACCTTTCATGCTCATGTAAAAATATATTCTTTTAATTACACTTATGAGTTATACTTATCTTAAGTGAAAATTGCTAATCATTATTTAAAACTGAATTTGCTGTTAAATTGGAAATTACATTGCACTCAAATCTTCAATAACTTTCACAGTATTAAAAAAATATTTAAAAATAAAAATGTTATTGATGTTTTAAATATGATAACTAGAATTCAGAAATTCTTCAATTCATATCATAATTTAAACACTAATTCTGCTGTGAGCAGAAACATTTTAATATTTAAACAATGAATTTTAATTTTTCAAAAGCTGAAACTCAGTTGAAGCAAAATGGTAAGACTATGACACTAATTATTATGTTCCCAGCACAGTAAGAATGATATTCTCCCTCAGTACATTTTTTGCTGGCAAGGCAAATGTATGAAAAAATGGTACTTTTGTGTTAAAGCAGCCACTGCTTAAGATTTTGCTAACATTTGAAATTTGCACATTAAAGATCAATTGATTAAGTTTGCCATTTTTGGTAACAAGGAAACAAAGAAAAAGAAATCTTATAAAATCATCAAAACATCTGAATAACAGATAATTCTTAAATTTTATTGCTTCATACATAAGCAAAAAAATCACAATTCATTAAATCGAAATAAAAATAAAAAGTAACAGAAATTGTAAAATCAGTATATCCTGATTAAAATCGTCACCACATAAGCTTCTGGCAACATTTGAAATTTACATACATTAAATTTATGAATTTTTGTGGCTAACTTAGATAGCAGCTTGGATTAAATTTATATACTAAAATTATTTGTATACATTAATGAAGCAGAAATTTTAAAAATAAAAAAATTCACTACATTTACATAATATCATGATATTTATGTACAAAAATTAAAGAATGCTAATGCTGTTTAGGTTTCAAACTGCTGCTTAATACACAGATTAACATCAGATGCTTTACATTCACAGAATAAAATACTAAATAAAAGTCATAATATGAAAGTCAACAATTAAAATAGTATAGTCAATTAGGTTTTCGTATATTCTAATACAAATAATTGGATTCTAAAAGTCCAATAAAACATTTTGTTCTGATTCATCAAATGAAATACAGTGCACCAAAATTGATACTTTACTTCTGTAACATCTAATTGTATGATTGGCATATGTATAATGAAAATAAAGCATCATACATCACATGCACTAGAAGCAAAAACATCAGTAGGAAATAAGGAGGAATACCCACATTTAAAGTATAACAGAAAAAAATTATTCATAAGAAAATATACTTTGACTATTCATAAATTATATCAAATGTTTTATGGCAAAGCTCATTTATTGATATATGATAATTTTATAGACAATGCCTGTGTTTAATAATATTATACATGTCTGTCTGGTTAATTTTTATACAATTTTGCCTACAAAGAAAGGAAGAAAAAAGATCTAAGTTTTGTTAAAAATTGGACATGGTTGTTTAAGTACAGCAAAAAAAGGAATGCATTCTTAGATTTCTCAACAGTTACAGTTTTTATACTCACAAAATAACCACAAAACAATCCCTGCAGTCAGATCATTCAACCACTAGCCTATTTAAAAGTGCTTTCTACATCATTTTGCATATTTTTTCAGAAGCCTTGTACAGCTGACAACGTAATCTGTTCAGTAATTTTAAATTAATAAAGCCTTGAAAATGTTTCTAAGCTGCCTGTATTTTGAACATCATAAACATATAAATTAAAGAGTAAAAGCATATTTAAATTAAATTTAAAAGATGCTACAAGCACAAATTAAAATTCTGACTTTAAGATATAAACTAACATCATGGCAACACACCTACACATTCACATCATTACAATAGTATAGGAAACTGAACTTTTAATACTTTTCAGTCTAAATACAGTTTGCAAGCTGATGTATTCAGTTATTAACTACTATGTTAAAATATGCAGCATTATTTGGCACAGGAGGCTATTTACAAAGTTTACTGGCATAACAAATATACAGTCTAAAATAAAAACATTGTTTTAGAAATTTCAATACTCAGGAAGAATGAATTTTAAAATGGAGTCATAATCAGGCATCAGTACTCAGTGCTGCAGTGCTTGTTGAAGTGCTTATTGTGCTTATTCTTCAAAACTGGCAGATGAAATAGCCCAATCTAATAATATTCAAATATCGTCAAAGGCTTATATTGCCTGAGATACCTGAAATATTTCATAACATAAGAAGTTAACTGTTAAATTTAATTTACAATGCACACAAACATTTTATGTTATACAATTTATTGCTATACCAATGACCTTATAAGATGAATATCAATACCATTTAATTTTATTTCCATTTTAATTCATCAATAAGAAAATCATATGTTGGGTTGGCTCAAATGTCCTGTAGTTTTTTTTTTTTTTTTTTTTTTTTGTTTTTTTTTAATTGAAATTTTGTGGGAAAAATACAATGTTTTGGCAGTGAGTTTTGTGTTATTCCACAGAGTTATTTGTGCTCTACAAAAGAAAGTGTTTAGTTTTCTTATGCTAATATACTTTTCCTTCTTTTTATGTCATTAAAATGAAGTGTTAACAAAAAAAAAAAAAAAAAAAAAAAAAAAAGCATTTTCGACACCCACCTGCTTTTTGCATTTAATCGAGGTTCCACAGCTACAGAAGCTGCTTCAGAAATTTGTGAATTACATGTCGAAAAAGGTGATGCCTCATAGGACAGCTAAAAACTGGCTTAAGCTATACCAAAACGTTGATTTCTACAGTCGAATCACTGAACAGCTTGTTGAATGTAGGGAAGAAGTTGTAAAGACCAATGGAGAATACAAGTACATTACTAATCGATTTGTTATTCATTTACAGAAACCTAAACTTAAAAAAAAAAAAAAAAAAAAAAAAAAACAGAACTTACAGGCCAACCCAATAGTTAGACTTCAAAATAAGATTAATTACAAATAAATATTAAAAATAGTTGCAAGATAAACTTAAGTGAAATAGAAACATTTCTAGAAATAATTTTAATTAGTGAGAAATGTTTTCAGTGAGAATGTTCATTTCAGAAAGGTTTGAGATTAAGTGGTAGCTTAGGAAAGTATATTCAAGATACCAATAAATGGATATTTTTGAATGGTGGATTATGTACAGCAAGAAAAAAAAGTGTCCAGAAATTTACTTTCTAAATGAGAATTTCAACCAGTTACACAAAGTGATAGCACACATATGTGGTGCACAGTCCATATTACACATTACTTATTACATTATTGTTATATTAAGTAGAACTATTTTCTCATCCACAAAGAGCTAAAAATTTGTAGGTATACAGTTAAGGTTGTTGATTAAACAAGCTTAACGATTTTTACACAGCTTCTGAATACAAAGGACATTAAATAAAAATCAAACACATTTTTCATAAAAAAACTGTACATAAAGCCCACTTATGGAATAGCCACTTCTTAACCCTTTCAGGACAGGCGTCCCATATATGCATTCCCTAAGAACGTCTCTTACAGCCGGGCGTCCCATCCACACATTCAGAGGACGGGTGATGCGTATACGCATTTTAAGGTGGAACGTTTTTTCTGAAGGCCACTAGATGGCATCCTGTGTCCATTACTTTTGAAATAAACACAGTTTTAGGTTCCTGACCTTGACTTTGATATATTCTGCTTGAGTTTGGTATTTTACTCATCAGCTGTTCGAGGGTGGGGGTGGGGGCAGAGGGAAAGCGTAAACAGAGGTGGGCTCTTTAAATCGCTGCGTGCTAATGAAAACATTCTCCTATCTGATTTAGTCTGATCTTTGGAATATGGTAACTGGCAGTTTGGCGACATTTTGGAGGCGATAAAGGTTACTACCTAGGGCTTTGGTAATAATGTGAGAAGCACTCAGTTCCGATTACGCATTATTTTGTGTGAGGGAAATGAGAGATCATGAGATATGTCATGTGACATTAATGGACGAATTACAGTTGTTTAATCGGAAAAGGAGGGAAATCTGGAAATTTTGTATTTAGCTATATTCTGTGTTGTGTGAAACGTGACATTAATGGACGAATTACAGTTCTTTAATTGGAAAAGGGGGTTAATTTGGAAAAGCTTTATTGTGTGTTGTGTGAAATAGTGTTGATTAATTTTTAGATTGCATGGCACTATGTAAAGTGAATTCTAAATTTTTAATGTGTTTATTTGATAATAATAATAAGTTGAGATTGTGTGAAAGGAAGGATATTACAAGTTTAAATGGCGGTGCAAGAAATATGGTGAAAATGGACATTTTGTGAAAAGGAGTGTAAGGAAGGGTACGTGGTTTGCTGAAAGTAGTTTGAGTATAGGTGAAATTTTATTAATTTCTTATTACTTGGTGAATAGAGTTCCAGTTGACTACTGGATTTAGGATTTAGAAATTAGCAGTAGTACTGCAGCAACGTAATGAAGATTCTGAAGAAGATTAGGTAAGTTAGTATTTTTAATTATTTGAGGATATTATTTTTATGCATTGTTCTAAATGTAAGGAGTAAATAAATTAAAATGGTATTATTTGAAAATTGTTATTAGCAATGATTTAGTTTAAAGTATTTAGGATTGTAATCTAATTTTTATTAATTTAATGTATGTGCTGATTTATATTTTAAATAGTGTTTTTTAATTTAATTATATTTTAATTTAA